TCTGTGGTAGGTATGCAGCAGGAGCAACAACTCCTACCCACGCTGTCTTGCAAATGAGTCTGTGACTTCTGAGGGAGCGGCAGCCCCAGCCTGAAACCACATCCACCCAGTGGTCCCCTCACCTCCCCCACCCCTCAGGCTAAACACGTATAGAAAACCAAGACTCAAAGAGAACAGAAAGATGCAAATGAGTCACCGGATTCTGTGGGCTGCCCTGCCACACCTTTGGGGTTAGAAGGACAGGGTCATTTGAAAGCCTCCCGGAGCTTCTGGCCCAGGGCACTTAGAGCATTGCTTCTCCACTTGAACCAGGAACCACCAGAAGACTCCTTAAAAGGGAAGTTCTGACACAGCTGGTTTGTGGTGGGGCCTGAGAGGCTGAGTTTCTAACAAGCTCCCAGGGGTGCCGACAGTGTGAGTCTGTGAGACTGTGAGTGGCAGGTGCTTGGGAGGCCTCCTCGGGCTTCCTGTCTTCAGGAAACACTGCGGTTGACAAAGGGACCCCGTCACCTGTAATTTTGCAGATGCGCGATGGAGACCCAGATGTTAAGTGGTCTGCCCAAGACAATTCAGCAAATTAGTGGCACAACGCCAAACTACCTTGTAAACACTTAGCCAGTTCTAAGTCACCTGTTCTATATCAGAAGGGAAGCCAGCAGGCCCTGGTCTGTCAGTGAGAAGAATCAAACCTCTCATCTTTGCTGACCCTGTACGCTCTATACATTGCCTGGAATAATACCAGATGCTTTGTGGTATTTTAATCAGAAAGAAGACTATGCGTCTAATGGTAAGACCAGAAACCTGACATTAATTCCTTGCCAGAGCTGGGCAGGGTGTATGGCAGGCAGACAAAGTACAGAACAGTCAGTTAAACTTCAATGTCACATAAAGAATAATTTTCTAGTGTCACTATGTCCCATGCATAATTTGAGATATACTTACAATAAAAAGAAGTATTGGTTGTTTATCTGAAATGCAAATTTAACTGGTGATGTTGAGTCTTCATTTTCTAAGTCTGGCAACCCTCACAGGGCTGCAAGTGAGAACACAGAGAGTAGGGGTCTGGTAACGAGGAACATTTCCTGCCTCACTGCTGCCGACCTTACAGAAATCCGCAAGGATGCTGGCGTGGCAGGCACCCCACGGGACGCACCACCTACTGCCGCGAGGGCTGTGCCGTCTCTCTGGATGGAGTGGCGCCTTAACTAACCCAGAATATGCCGAACTCCTACATTTATAGCTGCTGTTGAATCGTGTCCCCAGAAGATTTCTATGTTGCTGTCCTAACCCCCAGCACCCCAGAATGTGACCTGATTTGGAAACGGTTGTTACAGATGTCATCAGCTAAATGAGGTCCCAGTGGAGCAGAATGGGCCCTTCATTCAATATGACCGATGTCCCCGTATAAGGGGAAAGTTGGACACAGACTGACATGTCCGCGGGTGAAGGCTATGTGGAGACTGGCCTCGAGCTTCCACCAGCCAAGGAGCTGCCAGGAGCTGGGAGGGGCCTGCACGGACCCTTCCCTAAGCCCTCGGAGGGAGCGTGGCCCTGCCGACTCTGATCTTGGAGTTCCAGCCTCTAGAACTGGGAAACAATAAATTTCTGTTGTTTAGGCCACTCGGTCTGTGGCACTTTGGTTAGGCAGCCCTATAAACAAATGCTGGGGGCTGGGAAGAAGACGGTAGAGAAGGCGAGGGAACAGAACAACACAAGCAGGAGGACGCAGGGCACCACCGCTAGCTATCTTCCGCAGAACTGGAAAGCTGAGCAGAGGGAAGCGGTAGTGACTGTGAAAACACTCACTACTCTGCTGAAATTCAAACTGCACACATCGCGTTGAACAAGTCACAGGCTACATAAAGGAGTAACCTTAGAAATCAGAATGTACCCGCTTATTTAGAGCACCTCCAGCTTTAAAGAGATTTGGGGGGAGGGTTTTTAAATTTGCAACAGACCAGTTATTGTGAACAGGCCTTTTTTTCAAGGAGAAGTTTGCTTTCCCTCCAGTACGTACAAACCCAACATTACTGGACTGGTGATTCAAGAGTGTGAAACAAATTAAGTAGGCTATTCTGATTTCATTGTTCCTCTTGATTATTTGCTTGTCATATTTCAAATAGCCCCCAAAGGCAAGATTTATACAAAAGATAAGACTGTTGAACATGATCTAACCTCCCTCTCTATAGTAACTGAAACCTCAATTCAGGATGAATTTTAAAGTCCCCTCACCTTTACCCAGGCCTTGCTCTGGCCTGGAGGAGGTTTCAATAGCCCCACCCTAGAAAAATGCCAAACCCAGCTGGCCCCAGGCACACCAGGTGTTTGTTTCTCTCCTGAGGCCTTTGCACATGCTGATCCCTCTGCCTGGAATGTACTTCCTTCTGCACAGACCACCCCCATAGTCCCCACCTCAACACCTCCAACACAACTTCCTACACACTCAGCGCTCAAATGTCAGCTTCTCAGAAACATCTTCTATCATCACCCTTTTATTATTCCTGTACATGTAACCTTGTATATTTCCTTCGCCACACTTATTGCAACCATAATTATTTATTGTTTGCTGGTTTATTACCGATCCCTCCCTGATCAAATGGTAAGCTTCCATGAGCCAGAGAGCAGACGTGTTTTATAAATTACACCCAAGGCCTGGTGCACGGGAGGCACACAAATATTTGTCTGGCTTGATCAATTATTTATTCAAAACAAACAAATGAAGGCATGATATGACCAATACTGGCACACCCCCAAAACACAGTGGGATGTTGTCTATGCTCAGAGGCTCTGAGTTCAACCCTGGAGCATAAACTCTGTGCTTTTCATCCTGGCTATAAAAGGGATGCTTTTAAAGCATCACTTGTCTGCTAATTTCTCTGAGAAAGATTTCAAACTTAAAAACCAACGCTCTGATCGTGACCTGGCTTTACAAACAGTCCCTTCCTATCTTAAAGGCACATCTGGTCACATGCGCACCAGCTGCCGTGGTCCCAGGAGAGCACTTTCTCGTGGTAAATTCACAAAGCTGTGTGGGGTCATGATTTGGCATCCTATATAAAGTGACCTCAGGGAGAAATGAAATGAAAATACAGGCACAACATTTGATAGCTGAGTTTTTCTTCATAAATTAATAAATTGGCATTCTAAGATTTACAAAAGAAAAGCCTATGTATTTTATATTTACCAAAAAAACTTAGGATTTATGGGTTCTGAGATTAGATGGCAGAGGGTATTTTGGCAATACATATGTAAAACTTTTCAAATGTACATACTACTTGACCCAGAAACTCCAGTAATAGGAATTTATCCTAAGAAAAATAATCATGGCCTTGGCTGGTTTGACTCAGCGGTTAGAGCATCGGCCCATGGACCAAAGAGCTGCAGGTTTGATTCCGGCCAAGGCACACACCTCGGTTGCGGGTCAGTCCCTGGCCCTGTTCGGGATCATGCGGGAGGCAACCAGTCAATGTGTCTCTCTCACATCGATGTCTCTCTCCCTCCCCCCATCTGAAGATAAATGGAAAAATATCCTTGGGTGAAGATTAAAAAAGAAAAGAAAAGAATCATGAATATAAGCAACAATTTAGTCTCAAGATTTTTACTGCAGCACTGTTTACAATAAAAATTGGAAACCTGAATAGCCAATAATATGAGATGGAACAGATAATCTGTGGTAATCCCTATTAAGAAATACTTTATAGCTTTTCAAAATGTCCTGCTGAATGGAATAATAATCACTGACCTGGAAAAGAGGCTCACCGCATGCTAATGGTAAAAGAAGGAGGGCATGAACCCATACTCCAAAAAGTTCACTGCAGATTTTGCTGGGTAGTGAGGTAATTCGTGATTTTGATCTTCTTATGTTTATCTGTATTTTATAAATTTCCTCCGAAAGACATGTGGCACTCATGTAAATGCCTTTTGAAAAGCGTCTATTTAAAGTTAAATTTTATGCTATATGGTTCAACTTATATGAGGTACCTGGAATAGTTAAATTCAGAGAAAGACAGCAGAGCGGTGGTTAGCGGGGAGGGGCTGTGAGTTATTATTTATCAGGTACAGAGTTTCAGCTTTGCCAGATGAAGAGTTCTAACGACGCGGGGATGGTTGTAAAACAACATGAATGTACTTAATGCCACTAAACTGTAGACTCAAAAATGGTTAAGATAGTAAATTTTATGTTATCTGTATTTTGTCAAAATTTTTAAAAACTTAAAAATTTTAAATCAGTAAATCATAACTTGAGGTAGGTCTAGAGGTGTCTTAGTTACCAGGATTTTCAAGAGCTAGGAGTAGAGAAGCCTGTCTCTGACCTCGGGCCACATGGCACTGAGTGAGGCAATGCCTTATGCCCACCAGGGCTGGCGTGCGCCGTAGGATGGGCAGGCATTTGCCAGGTTTCCCGTCTAGTGCTGCTGGCCATGGCATTTCCTGTCTCTCCTGAGTCTTCGTCCTCTCTTGCCAGCGTCCCTTGGTTGATTCTCATGAGAAGGAAATGATTTGGCTGCCCCAGAAGCTTGCTTCCCCAGAGCCTGGCTATAGGGACTGCAGGGGGCAGGCAAGTCCAGAAAAGATTCGAAGTTACATCCTCTGTAGGCCGTGGGTTAAGGGATTTGCCCCCAAAGTTCTTCATCTAGGAATCGGTGGAGCCAGGCAAAGAAAGGGATCTCACCCTAAAGTCTGGACAAGTCACCTCTCTACTAAGAATGAAGAGGAGAAAATTAGATTCAGCTAGCAATATTCTGTCTTTGTGCATCAAGAGGGTACCCAGCGCTTTGCAATGAGAAAGAGGAGCGTGCCTGGTTCCTGGTGCTGGGACTCGAGAGCCTGGAGCCTGCAGAGCGGTGGCCGAGGGCTGAAGGTGGCCTAACAGTGCTAGGATGTCGGATGCCGAGGTTAACAATCTGAAAGGATCATACAGGTACACAGGAAAAGGAAGTTATGCAAGTCCTTTCAAGTTAGCAGGGCCAGGGAAAGAGGGAGACTAGTCCTTTGCTTACCTGCTGTAGGCACACTAACGTTATACTGAGGTAAAATAAATAGGAAGGCAGTCTTGGCAGTGACCTGTAAAATAAAGAAAAAGAGTTCCAATTTAGCCTTTTGGTCACATCAAAAGAATCCAGTGGAGCCTGCCACAGCCCCCAGGGCCCACCCCTTTCCATCTCAGACCACAGGCCCCTCCAAGGAAGGGTTTTACCTAATGCACAGTCAGCACTGGCTTTTCCTCTCTTCCATTTAGTGACAACTCTCCCAATACCTGCACTAAAAACAAACAAGACAATCCTGGCCCCTGCATGGTATCTGGACTTGTACTCACTGCAGATGGAATGAAATGAGCTGTGCTTGGCCAACCGAGGGCACAAATTTGTCTGCCATTCATTCATATTCACTCGTTCGTTCGTTCGTTCGTTCATTCGTTCATTCATTCATTCAGTCAGTCATTCATTCATTTTAGATACCAAGCATTGTGGAAGACGAGTCCCAGCCTTCTGGAAGCCTAGCTGAGGCTTCCCCAAGAATGCTGGCTAACTACACAGTGGACAGCAGTCCCAAGACTAAACCTGAGCTCCAGAAACGAAGAATTCCAGCTACTAATGTCACGTCTACCTCACTGTGGGGCCTGGAGCAGGGCATAACACCCTGCGCCGCTGGTTTGTTTATTTCAAAAGCTGCCTTTAAAAATCTTAGTTGTGCCGTGATAAAAACTGTATTTGCCACCTGGCAAATCAGTACTCTGGCAACTTAGCCTGCAGGGGAGAAATGACAAAATGTGGGGATTCGAAGCTTGGACTTGGAAACCGGCTGCCTGGGTTCCAATCTGCCTCTGTCATTGGCTGGCTATGTAACCACAAGCAAGTCATCTGACACCTTGAGCCCCACTTTCGCTGTCTGTAAGATCAAGGATATCTGTAGCACCCCGGCTGGTGTGGGTGACGCTGTCTAAAGCTCCCCAGATGTTTCTGATGTGCAGCTGGGCTGAGAAGCACCACCCACATGGTTCTGGAGCATGTGGGAGGCCAGGGGAGGAGGCAGGACCCAGGCCTGTTCCAGGAGGCCTCCGGAGACACTTCATCAATCAGGAGTTACTGCTTCTCCTCTAAACAAAAGTGTTTAAAGGATGCACTGTGGGTGTGGGTGAAACACTGGGTGTAGCAAAAGCAGACGGGAAGCAGGAAAGATGTATTACAGCCCCTCTCGTGCGTCACTGGGACTCCTGCCTGCCCAGAGGCAGGTTACTGTCCTCGGCCTTCTCTGTCCACTGAAGAGCAAAACTCTCCACACCAACCAGACCGGCTTCTCTCCAGGGGTGTCATCTGCCCTTTGTGCCAAGTGCGGCACGGCCCTCCTCATGTGTGACACTGTCACAGACATGTCCTGCCAAGCTTGCAGGGAACAGTCCAACGAGACGAGGTATGAGAAGGCACTCTGGAACACACAAATCCCCATCTGAACATCCAGGTGTTTCCTACCCCGACTCCCAAGACCTGCATCAGGGCGCTCCCGACCTCCCTTCCAGGCCAATCGCCTCTGCTTCTTTAGGACAGACGTACGGAATGCATTTCGGCAAAAGCGTGCTACTCACTTCTCTCCTTTGGGGGTTTTAGTCCCCCTCACTTTGTGTCCCACCCCCCAAAAACCATACAGATTAGAATCTCACTCATCCTTCATAACCCAGCTCAACCGTAACCCCTGGAAGCCTTCCCCACCGGATGACAGGATACGAGTCTCCTTCCTCAGGAAGTGCTCCGTAGCACACCCCACTGTGCCAAGACCCCTGCACTCCTTCACCGTCCTCCATGAGGCACCCCTCGGGACAGGGGCTGTGCCTTCTCACCTGGCCTCAGACCCTTCTCAGGTAACTAACCCCATGCACAGCCAGTGCTCATAACTGCTCACCGGACAGGATGAAGAACCAAGAGCCGAGTCTGTGCTGGATTGCTTCACTAACTATATTTGTTCCCTGGTGCTGTCACTCAAGCTGGCCTTGGTCACCTGTGTGTCACCCACAGTCTTCTCCTGGAGAGCCGTCTAGCTGCCAAACACCTGACCTTCACCGCCACCAACCCAGCCATGGTGGTCTCCCCGGCTGCATTCTGCTCGCACTGGTCATCCCTGGCCTAACCACCTGTCCATATAGTCTGTCAGGACTCCTTAGAGGGTAAACCTGGTTTTCTCAGGCTGAAACCCCTGTGAGGGACAATCAGAGGAAGCTGGGAAAAATGAGAGAAAGGAAGAAGAGAGGAGAAAGGCAAATAGGCAGGCAAGAAATACCTAACACTATTCTTGCCCTAGGCACAAATCTCTCGTTCCGCTTCATTCAGGACAGACACTCATCTGTTATGTTCATGGAGTGAGCGCATGGACGTAGTGGGTTTAGGCTGACCAACATCCATCCCCCCTTCCTAATGGCACCAGGGTTTCCTGAGGAAACAACTCTCCACAGTTGTGAAAACGAGTGTTGTGGGGGCCATTCTGGTGACTACCTTCCTCCTGGAAGAAAGAAGGACCAGACCCTCTCCCAGGACAGGAGACCCGCCAGTCCGATGCCTCTCCTGGGCTCTGAGCCTTGGGCAGGAATGAAGAAAGTGCTGGTCATTGTTATGTGCCTGCCTAGAGTGTCCTGCATGGTCCCACAGCTGTGCTGCTGGAGTGCCCCAGACCCCCATTAGCCATGCGAACCCCCAGAGAACTTCCTTCATTGGCCAGAGTCCATTTCTAAGACACATTATAATCCCATGTGCAGAGAGCTGGCATCCAACCCTGATTACACGCTCGAATCCCTGGGGGAGCTTTTAAGATCTCCATGGCTGGGACACCCCCAACCAATTAAGCTTGACCTTGGGGCATCAGCAGTGGGCGAGTCCCCAGCGCAGGCTAATGTGCAGCCGTCTGAGAGGCACGCACGCAGAGCCAGCTCCTCGTCCGCCAAAGCAGCTGCTCGGTCCAGTCTGTCTCCGTGTCCCTCACAGAAGTCACTTAGTTTATGTCGTAATTTTTTATTTCATCTTCAAAAGAAATACGCATCCTTTTAAAAGTGAAACAGTTCTGTCCTGGCTGGTTGGCACAGTTGGTCGAAGCATCGTCCTATACACTAAAAGGTGGCAAATTCGATTCCTGGTCAGAGCACGTGTACCTAAGTTGAAGGTTCGATCCCTGGTTGAGGTGCGTATGGCAACGGTTCAATGTTTCTCTCTCTCTCTCAAATTAATGAAAAAAATATATACTCGGGTGAGGGTTAAAAAAAAAAAAGTGAAACAATTCAGAAATATCTAAAAAAAAAAAACCCTAATATTCACTCTACGTTCTTTGTTTTCCTTCCTTTCCCCAGCCCATATTCACGTCTCCCTCCACATATTTGGGTCAATTCTCTGAGAGGATTTCCTATGCATTTATCCATTTGGGATTTATTTCATTTAGTTTGAAACCACACAACTAGACTCAAGGGATTAAAGACTGAAAACAGTTTTACAGAGCTACAATGGATTAAATAATATTTAAATCACTCTTTTAGCCCTGTGAATCAAATGGTTGTTGCAGTATCACTGAAATCCAAGTACAAATCTATCCAACGTACATGACGATATTCGAAGTATAGTTATATGGAAAATATAACCCACTTTTTGTTTACTAATGCCAACATATAAGTGGTTATATAATAAAATCTTCCTCATACATACTAGTGCTTTCCATCAATACTTCCCACAGATACCCCTAATGATTAATACTGAAAAACTCAGCCAATAAATCAGGCCCTCCGTGAAAGTGTATATAAATGTATGAGTCTGTTACTTCAACTACCACTGAAAGAAGAATCCCACTTTTTTTTTAAAGGAAGACAGACATTTGTGACATGGGTTGTACACACAACATTGCCCTCATCCTGCAAAGACAGCCAATTCTCAGTATTCACATTAGTTCTGTTCTACGAAGTTACTGTGAACCCTGTATTAGCAAATATCGCATCATTGCTCCTAGAGGAAATACAGGGTTGGGTTCCTACCAGTCTCTGGGCACAACATTTCCATCAATGGTGCAATGCATAACCTTGCTTTGTGTGTTTGTTTTAAGATGCTACACTGAATACCTACTGAAGCGTGAACACCAAACTCATGCCAACGGCGCTATAACTCCTGCCTGAAGAACACATCTAGCCTGTGTACATTCTCTCCAGGGCACAGCAGAGCCCTGTGCTTAGGAACACGAGACAGCACTTCAGTACCACGCACGAGGGCTGTTTTAAACAGCAAAATCACCACAAAAATGAAACAACAACAAAGTAGCACTAAATAGACCGCAAAAAGGACATTTGCTTACAGGAGAGCTGAGACAAGAAGGCAAGGCCTCATCTAGCTGGACCTCACTGGAACGTGCTCATCAGCGACCCTAATTTGCATGGCTCTGTGCATGTCCATGAGGGACCCCAACATCACTGGCAGTGTTGATTTGGGGTTACAAATAAGTGTTGGTGGAGAGGAACATGGGAGACACAGGATCTGCAAAGAACCAGGACCGAGTGCACTGGGCAAACCCAAGGCCAGCTCTGTGAGGGCCGAAACGTTTTCCTTTTCAGCTCCTTTGTTGAGGGATGATTTACACACCATAACTTCACCCACTGTGTGCAGCTGGATGGGGTTTATCTTCACTTGTTTTCAAATGCTCCCTTCTCTAGAATATACGTTCTAAGAAAGTGAAAATCTTACTTGCCTTGATTATCTTCAATCCACAGCCCGAAACAGGGCCTCGAACATAGCCAGCACCCAGCAAGCCGGTGTCAGATGAAAAGAGCAATTAAGTAGCAGAGCCAGGACTTTGCGTACTTACCTGACTCTCATCTGTCCTTTGCTCACATCTATATTCCTGTGCTTCCTCTCTCTCTCCCTAGGCTCCATGTCTGAGTTGAGCACATAGATACATGAGTTTGTTTTTTTTGTTTTTTTCAATTTTTTAAAAATCTTTACCAAAGTATATGTTTTTACTGATTTTACAGAGTGGAAGGAAGAGAGAAAGAAACATCGATGTGAAGAGAGAAACATCTTATCAGTTGCCTCCCATACAAGCTTCAA